ATTTTGTAAAGTAACAAGTTTATACTGAAGGTGAATATCAAGAAATACATCTTTTTTGGACGGAGGGAATACTATTTTTTTTCTCATAGCTGTGTGGCACAAGCAATGGTAGCCGAGTCAATTAAGCTAGGGTATGGTTGGATTTACCTCTTGATTCAAAAGAGGAGTCAACCATAGGATTTAATACCAACGTGTAAACTTAATTATGGCAAATATATATATATATATATATATATATATATATATATATATATATATATATATGATACCTATATGGGACTCCATGGTGCCCGGACTCTAAGGTATAAAACACACAAATTCTCTCAAATTTTTAAAAAATTTTAAATTGTGAGTATATACCTAGGTATATGAATTTGATTCATACATATACCTAACAACAAAACAACTCAAACTCAACTTTATTTCACAATTCATTATTACATACCTAACGAATTATATGTTTGAATGTTATATACCTAGAACCAAAATCTAACAAAAAAAAGTTCAAACTCAGTTCAAACTTGTTTGAACTTGTTAGTAAAGAAGTTAATGTTCATATCTAAACATTTAAAAAAATTTCATACTCATTCAAATTTGGTATATACTCAATTTGAATCTTGGAGCCCATACTCCATGTAGCACCAGTTAATTTACCTATATATATATATATATATATATATATATATATATATATATATATATATATATGTGGCTGGAGAGCACTATCAGTCTTAACGTTTGATCTAAGCTAATAAGCCATGGAAAATAAAGTAAGAAAAAAATGGATACAACTATTATATTTTTATTTTTAGCGACTTAAAAAGTAATGCTAAAAATAAATTTTTAAAAAAAATCTTACAATTAACTCTAAAATTATGTTTTAAAATTCAATTTTTTGTTACGACGACTGATAAGTCAATAAACAAAGAATAGAGTTGTATAATATTGGAAAGATAAAGGCTACACATTCTCCCGAACCATTGACATGTATACCATTGCAAGCAACAAGATTGGAATGGACCATTGGTACCACACATGCCATGAATCCCCTTTGGAAAGGAAACCAACTCCCTGGCTTGGAATTGCTTGTAGCCTTTGTGTGCAGGCAGGCATATTCTTGATATGGCCAGCTAGCTAGCTGGGCATAACCCAAGGGATGAAAAATTCTTCTGTGAAATGCACATGCATGGCTGCCATCTTGGCCATCGCATTTTCTTCCATGGACCAGTTTATTGGTGCATCAAGAATTTAACCTTACAGATCATCCCTGTCCTTTAATTCCTCATGTACCTATACTAACTACCTAGGAGTAGTGCTTGTTTACTGAAGGAAACTATTGGTACCATAAACTGTTTAATTATGAGAGATAATAGAGATAATACGTATGTAAAACACTATGACACGGATTATCTAATTTATTTCAGGGGTAAATTTTGTGGATGAAATAATCCATGGCAATAGTGTAGTGAAGCAGCTAAAAAGAACATAACCTATGTGTAGGATATTTGGGATTATTATTTACCTCTGCAACAAGGTTCTATATTGTGAAATGCCAAAGCTCCTAGCTAATTTTGTTTAAAAAGTAGTACTATATCTTTTGACTGATTTTTTTTTGAGTGGATTTGTATACATAATACATGTTGTACTGGTCCGAATTCAAAACAAGTAATCATTCCGTATGGTGAATCGATCGAGGTGTATGTCCAATTTAACACCTGTAATCACGACGTCATTAGTTTAATGGCTTGTCTAGATCACCATCAAGAGTAATCCACAAGCACAAACACACGCTTAGCTTTAAAATAATTGCCTGGACCTTTGGCTGGCTCTACTATTGCCGCTTTTTAGAGCTTTTTGACCAGGTGACCCACATAATCATAATAATTATGTGGTAGAGCCAGACTCCCAATTTGTCTCCTTCTAACCTCGATTTAATTTGTTTTGTTAATTAGCAAACATACATCCTTAGTTTGCATCGTATTGTATAAAATTCATGTGTGTTGCAAATTACTCACTCCTTTCACAAATATAAGAAAATTTTGGCTACTTACGTGGAAAATAGGAGTTGCACATATATTTTTGCCTTGAAAGAAATCAAAATGATTTTATACAACACAAGAGGCATAAAAGTTTAATTATTCAATGGTGTAATTAGTGAGGTTAGCTTAGCTAATTAAGGAAGAGATTAGCTTGCTGTTGTCCCTAATTGAGATGGTGCCCGCCGTTCAGTGCATTGTAAGGTAGATAGTTAAATAAAGGCTACAATCAAGAACGAACGCAGCAACCGGTGTACTCAACCCAGCGATTATCACTCCCCATCAACGATAGAAACATTTCCATTTCCTCTAAATCAATCACTCAATTTTCGGTCAAGATACCTTCATGTTGTTAAGCATTGGCAGAGCGAGAATTTTCGTCAAGGAATTCAGACTCTAAATTAGATTGCATGATTTTGAAAATAGTGATATTGATCAATAATTTATCAAACGAGTCTATAATATGGCATATATTTATGGAAGTTTAAATCTAATAATACAAACAACTTTTTAACTTTCTTGAACAGCTAGATTTCTTGTTTGTGTATAATTTGTATACATTTTTATAGTATTAAAATTATATATTTGGTATTGTGTAAAAAAATTGGGGTTGAGGCGTGTACCCATATATATATATATATAATATAGCTGCCTCTGCCATTTTTTTTCGAACGAGCAAAAGGATTGCATGTTAGTAACATATTAGAAGAGTAAATGTTTTGTTACACAACGCAATCAAGACAGGCTTTGCCAGTAGGGAGAAAACCTCTCTAACAACCAAATGCGAAAAGAAAAACAGAGAAAAGATTACTGTGAAAAGAAAAACAACTCCAACAAACAAGAACCTCTGCCACTGATTTTAAGTAGTTTTACCGGGCAGTCAAGTGGACGCAGATTCCGTGACATTCTCGGTGACATTGAGTCACTGACATGTGGGACCCACATGTGCCTGGTTCCATACGTCAGTGACTCAATGTCACCGAGAATGTCACGGGGGAATGTCACCGAATCCTAATCCCAAGTGGACACATCCAGTCTATATGATAGTGAATCTATATCATGCATAACAACAGATTTGATGAAACTATTTGTTTGGTGGGTGCAAGTCTCACGAATGTATATAAGAGTCGTCTTTAAGAATCTTTAATTATCTTTTTTATCGTAATAAAATTTGTTGAAAGTATAGCCATAATAAGTACCATTAATTATTTCTTGGCATTATTTTATATTTTTGAGTTAAATTCCAAGTATAAAACCATGTACTTATCAACAAAATGAGCATTGAATATTGCTACTCTGCTTTGCGTTGCTACATTCCAGAGCAGTTCTGCTGGAATATGTGTCCTTTTTTTTTTTACAAACTACACATGTGCCGTATAACTGCTTCCTGAAACCGACTATTTTTAATATGAAAAGAGGAGGGAGAAAGTGAATTATTTGTTTCATTTAATTTGCTGTTATACCATATTAGTGTATGATCATGTGTAACACAAATTGGTGGTTACAACGAATACACCAGCCGAAAGGAAATTACTATATTGATGGACCATTTTCAGAGATGAAGTTATAGAAAACAAAAAAAAAATCCACATTATCTTACCTTGAGCGTGTGTAACATTTCAGATAAGTATTTTAATCTCGCCTCATTAAGTATTTCCTTTCTTTGCATTTTACCGCCTTGCTATTTTTAAACTCAATAAAAAAAATACAAATCCATAAAAAGCACCCATTATACATACACAACACCAAACAGATTAAAATTATCTCGGTTTCTATTAGCATGTTTTTCAAATTACTAAACAGTATATTCGGTGCGAAAACTTTATATATATAAGTTGCTTTAAAATATCATATATATATATATTAAGTTTGTAATAATTAAAATTTAATTAATCGTGTATTAATAAATTTTCTTGTTTTACGTGTGACTTAATCTTCAATTTCATCGGTTTTAAACACCACCTAAAATGGTAATCTGGTTGAGTCTACTAAAAGATAGGATCAAGATTAGTGAAAACGGCGCGATTAACAGACTCTAACTAACATACTAATCAACCAGATTAATCAGGATTATCCAAAAAGCAGTTAATAAAGAATTAATTAATTGGTAATATTCAAAACAAAAAATAAGTTGGTGAAGTGAAATAAAACGACAGCAAGGCAAAACCGGCCTGTGGGGCCCACTTGTCCGATACCTCTGACCCCCAGAATAAAAACAAAAAAAAACATATACAATTAATAACAAAATAAACAAAAATATAATAATAAAATAATTAAAATAGAAAAATAAAAAGAAACCTCCCCTATTAATTTGGTCGTCTTCCTCCTCCTCACATCACATGCATCTCTCCTCTCCTCTCCTCTCCTCGTATATTCCTCCATCTCCTCCTCCCGTCCCAATCTCCAATCTCCAACCCTCGCAATCCCAAATCCCAACCCGACCCCGACACAGATCCTCTCCGCTAATCCCAATTCCGCCGCCAAAATCCACCCTTGCGCTGTCCCCCCCTCGCCAATTCGATCTTGATTTTGATTTGAGAAAATCGCGTGTTCTTTTGGAGGGAAGAGAAGATTTGGGAGTTCTTTTGAAGGGGGGGGGGGTTGATGGTGGCGAGGATGTGGCCGTGGCCGCCTCCGGCGAGGAAGTTCCGTGTCAGGCTGGTGGTGCGGCGGGCGGAGGGGCTCACGGCGACGGCGACGGCGACGGCGAGCTCGTCGCCGGTGGCGGAGGCGAAGGTGGCGGTGGAGGTGAGGTGGAAGGGGCCCAAGGCGTCGCCGCTGGGGTCGCTGCGGCGGGTGATGCACAGCAACCGGACGCGGCTGGAGTCGGCGGCGGAGGCGGCGGTGGCGTGGGAGGAGGAGTTCGAGAGGGTGGAGACGTTCACGGCGACGTCGCACCGCAAGTCCGGCGCCGCCTTCCACCCGTGGGACCTCGCCTTCTCCGTCTTCGTCAATGTGAGCCACCGTCTCTTCTTCTCACTCTTCTCCTCTTTCTTGGTTTTGCCTCCTTGACGCGTTTCAATTTTTTAGATAGAATAAAATTTGTTCTTGTTTTATTGTTTGATTGGTTGTGTGAAATAAAAATAATGAAATTTTGCCTTGAATGGGATTTTCATCTAGAATGGACTTTTTTTTTGTGTGTTTCATTGTTTGGTTGGTTGGTTGGTTGGTTGTTTGTGTGAAATAAAAAGAGTGAAATTTTGCCTAGAATGGGATTTTCATCTAGAATGGAGGGTTTTTTTTTTTGGGGGTTTCATTGTTTGTTTGGTTGGTTGGTTGTGTGAAATAAAGAGGACGAAATTTTGCCTTCAATGAGCGCTTTTGGTTTGATTGGATGGAACAATTGCTGTTTGTCATGTTAGTTTTCGTCCAATGATCAATTTAATCTGTTTTGCTTTGGTTGTTTGAATGATTCTTGCTGATAATTTTTTATCTTATCATTCATGTCACATTGACAGCGAAAGTTTTGACTTTTCTTTTGAAAAAGTCAAGTCTCATTGGTTTATTGGTAATTCCCTTCAATTCGCTTGGATCTAACAGAACCATAAATAATATTAAATTGGTTTTATTTTTTACCAGTCCTCACTGTAAAAAACATGATGATTTAAGGAGCTTTAAAGAAACAGTGTTGCATGCTATTGGTTTATATTGGTGGTTGGTTTTGGCTTTGTACCTTTCTTTGGCGATGATATGATGGTTGATTGGTTGGGTTCTTACATTTTTTTTTTGTTGGCGATGATTAAGTTATCAGCAAATTGTTGTGGCCAGAGTGTGGATTTATTGGACGTGCCTTGATCATTATACTTTTACATGACAACCTCAAACAATTAAACATTTCAAGCTAGATCGTTTCTGTTTTAAGAAAATGAGTTATTTGAATGTATGGTAAGTACCTCTCGGATCAACAAACAATTATGCTACTTATTTAATAGCTTGGCTAGCATAATTTAGGTTCAATGTATCAGAAAGCATATAACTGTTTTATCCGTTTAGAAGTTTTGACGGCAAATCAGGAAATGCCAAAAAACATCTACTTATTGTTCTGGAAACAAAAGGTGAAATTAGCCAATCATGAATTGTGAAGGATTATTGTCTTTTCCTGTGCCAATTTTTATTATGATGCAATTACCGTTTTGTCGTGTTCGATTCGACTGATAGGCGAGATTCTCATTTTGTCGCGTTGTTTGCTTTGGATATATCGTCATTCGTGTTTCAATATTATTTGATCTCTGCTGACAAGAGAAAGAAACAGAGCTAAGTTGGGAATTATTACAGCTAACGTAATTTGAGCAAGAATCAAAGCTAAAGTTATGGGTTATTACAGCTAACGTTATTTGAACAAAGCTAAAGCTGGGGGTTATTTCAGCTTTTACATGCTGTTAACCAAACAGTAATCTATATAAACAAGCGGAACAATACTTCTTTTGGCATTCTCCCTTGAGTTTAGTCTAACTTCCTTGGTTTTGCTTTTGTCCTTACAGGATTCAAATAAAGGGCCAAAGGGTGAATTGATTCTGGGTACCGCTTCACTGAACCTAGCAGAGTACACATCTGCTTCTGAAGAAGTCGAGATAATCCTCCCATTGTCGGTGCCAAACGGTTCATCCGAGTCTTCCCCATCACTTCATGTATGTCAGTTATACGATGCTATAAACCAGTTACATTGGAATGCCAATACTATTTTTTGTTTCTGATTCTCCTCAAATGGTCATCCATTACCTGACTTTAATATCCTTTTTTCAGCTCACTTTGAGCCTGGTGGAATTAGGACCTCCTCACCAATCACCTGATGCTTCACAGCGTTCTGCTGTTACCGCTCCATTGTCACCTTCCAGTGGTGACTCTGTTCCTTCCAGCAAAGATGAGGTTTCTTCTGTCATTAAAGCGGGGCTGAGAAATCTAAAAATTCTCACAGATCTAGTGTCGACACGGAGGTCCAAAAAGACTAACCGAGATGATGATGGCAGTGAGGATAAGTGCTATGTTCACAGTGATGGTGCTGAATACCCTTCTGATACTGACTCCCTCGACGAAGATCTAGATGATAGAGAGCGGGATGATGGCTTAGGGGGTTCAACTGTCAGGAAATCCTTCAGCTATGGTTCCTTGCAGTCTGTGAATTATGCCGGTGGCCTACTTTATGCACATGCAAGGATTGATGGAGAGCATGAGGACTGGATATACTACAGTCACCGGAAATCTGAAGCGGGTTATTCTGTAGAGCAAGAGGCCTCATCCACTGCTGAAGAACCTGTGGTTTCAGTATCGCGGAGGAGTCTGCTTCCCTGGAAGAAGAAGAGGAAATTGAATTTACGGTTATTGAAGGTACTGAAGAATAAAGGGGAACCTTTACTGAAGAAGGGGAATGACGAAGAGGGAGGTGATGACATTGACTACGATCGGCGATTATTGACCACTTCTGACGGAAATGCTTTAGAGGTACTTATTTCCTTGATATCTTGTGAAAGAGTCTTTAGTTTCATTTTTTTGTTCATCATATGACATCAATATTGGACCTGTATTATCGTTGGACCATTCATTATTTATAGCATATCATCTTCTCATCTGCAGGGATCAGATAGCTCCATCAATAGTATGGTGTCAATATTTGGTGATGATAATTTTGTAGTTGGGAATTGGGAGTCAAAGGAAGTACTTAGTCGTGATGGCCACCTGAGGTTGTCTACCCAGGTGTTCTTTGCATCAATTGACCAGAGAAGCGAACGAGCTGCAGGGGAGAGTGCCTGTACAGCACTTGTAGCTGTCATTGCAGATTGGTTTGAAGCAAACCAGGATCTGATGCCAATCCGCTCGCAGTTTGATAGCCTTATCCGAGAAGGGTCTCTGGAATGGAGGAAACTCTGTGAGAACGAGACATACAGAGAGCGATTTCCTGACAAGCACTTTGATCTTGAAACTGTCCTTCATGCCAAGATCCGCCCACTCACAGTTTCCCCCAACAGGTCATTCATTGGGTTCTTCCAGCCTGAAAGTACTGAGGATGGAAGTGGATTCGATTTCCTTGATGGAGCAATGTCATTTGACAACATATGGGATGAGATTAGCCGAGCAGCAGAGTGCTCCACTGAAAAACCTACTCTATATATTGTCAGCTGGAATGACCATTTCTTCGTCCTCAAGGTTGAGGCTGGCGCATATTACATTATCGATACACTTGGTGAGAGGCTGTATGAAGGTTGCAGCCAAGCTTACATCTTGAAGTTTGACGACAACACTACAATTCACAAAGTACCTGCTGAAAAGAAAGAAGCCAACCCTGATTCCAGCGGGCGGTTGAAGGATTCGTCAGATAGCTCATCAACTGATCAGGACAGCGGAACTGACACTGAAGAGTGCGAGCTCGTGTCGAAGGGTAAAGAATCATGCAAAGAGTACATCAAGAGCTTCTTGGCTGCCATCCCGATCCGCGAGCTGCAGGCCGACATCAAGAAGGGTATCATAGCATCGACGCCACTGCACCACCGTCTCCAGATCGAGTTCCATTACACCGAATCATGCCCCGAGGAGATCCCGCTGCCTGCTCCATTACCTGCCATTGAAGCTCCCTTTGAGTTCTCCTGGCCTGAGCCGCCTCCTGCCATGGAGGTTACCCTAGCACCCGCAGTCGCCGCCATATAACTCACCATGGAAGTGCCTGCCCTAATGTTTAACATATAGAGAGCCTCTTTTTCAGGGCGAATTGTGAAGTGAACCAGATCAAAGATTTGGCTTCGTTTCTAGTTTGCACTGTTTTTTTGCTGTCTAATTATGATGAACTGACTAGTATAGGTGACCCCCCCTCCCCCCCTTTGGTGTATGTTTTCTACTTTTCTTCACCTTCCCTTCCAGGTTTTAGAGCTTTCATTTTGTAAAGAAAGAAAGGGTGTTTGCTCCTAGTTATCTTCACCTGTGAAGTGGCTTGTGCTCAACTTGTAATCCTTGAACCATATCATTATGTTAATTAAGCCCTTGTTATCTTCTAATACATGTTCCTGCTGGTTTAATCTCACATGTTCATCACAAAGGTTCTGAAATTTTGGACTGAAGAAGCATCATGTGTGAACCAAGGAAAATTTAGTCCTATGAGATGTGAAATACACTGATTGAGCTAGACAATAACACTTTGGGTTTGTGTCCAATGAATTAATGTCTGTCATCTTTGTGATAAAACAAAATCATTAAGATAATGAGTAGTTTAATGTCTCCATCAGTGAAAAGATTTGTTTAGAACCCAACCTTTCATTGTCAACCCCTACCTTTCCGGCGCACGATCGGCACTGACCCGTATTGGGTCGACGCCGATCCACCACAAAACAAGAACGTGTTTTTTTTTAAAAAAAAATAAACACAAAAAATACATCAAAATGAACGAATTATTGTCAAGCAAATATTTCTCATGAATGCGACAGATGAACTGCCAGTGTAGATGAATAGCCGAAAGGGTTCGTACACTGTGTTCTTATGCCTGCTTTGGATGTGAATCCATTTGACAGGTCAATGTCAAACTATGTATTTGTGACCCGTGAAAAACATTAAAATAATTAAGATGCATTTTGGTTTGGCCTAATCTCCAATCAAGGGCCATTTGGCATGGTTTTAAACGCTCTGACATGGAATATAATCCTTCTTTATTTTCGCATTTAAAATTTTCTCTGAATTTTTAAGCTGTAGTATTGTATTGTGCAGAGTGTGAGCTGGCTAATGGCAACTTGGCAGCACTCTCTTCTCTGGTCAACTACTAACTGTGTGCATGCTCGTCAGATGGGCCATAGGTGATCTAATCAAGCAGCAAAGGATAATGTAACATGAAAAGCGAGTGATGCCAGCTTAGTTAATTTACTAATTGGATTCTTAAAGCAAAAGGTGAAGCATTTCTTAATGCAACTAGATCTCAACCTTTCCTGGTCTTTGACCACACCTGCATTATCTCTGAATGATACTCTTCACCACAATCACATCAGGTTAATTTCCATTCAGAAAGGAGGGAACACCTGCAAAAGAGAAGGAAAGTTCAGAGCTTTACCAACCAACATGGTATTGTTGTGTAATCCACACTGGATTTTGCCAAGCAAATTTGCAGTCAGTCTGTAGTACTTGCCACGGCAATTGCTGGGCTTAGAAAAAGTGCAGAGTGCCTTCTTTTTTTGGCTGATGAATGGCTTTTCATTCTGAAAGCTGTTGCTAACCTTATTGGCTTAGGAAAAGTTCAGTGCATTCAGTTCAACACCTACTGTACCATGGCACCTGCAAATGGATTCAGTTCAATGGAAGTAAGTATACATGTGACATGCTTCATTTTAAGTTCATTCTCTTGGAAAAAAGAAGAGCTACCACCAAGAATTCTAGGTCTGAAACTCTGAATAAACAAAAGAATTAGTCAGGATAATCATGGTCAGAGAATATATTCTGAAGATGAAGTTTCAGAAGAAAGTCAGGCACACAGTACACCTCCACAAGAGGGTAGTGGTTTTCTTGTCTGAACCTTATTAATTAAGCTATAACACTTGTATTGGTACACAGATATACCTAAACACAGTATCAGTACAGGGACTGAATGTGACGCAGCATCAGCCTTTGCATAACCATAGATTGAATTGTAGCTGGTAGGACAATTCAATAGAGACATGAGGAACCCTAGCTTTCTTGTGACTACTTGTCCTGAAACAAGATAAAAAAAAAAGTCTGAATTCTGAACCCCCAACACTACTGAGTGTAAAGAAATGAAAGCAACCAACCACTGACCACCTTAGCTTTGCTTTCCCTTCACTTTCAGAGCCTTGCAGTTATCACCCCAAAAAAAAAAGAATGTATGCCGTATCAAACAAACATATACTGCACTGATTAGATGTTTTTTTTTTTGAGAGTGGAAAGCAAGGAAAACTCAAATTACAGCATCCAGATTACAGTCCTCTGATAACAGAGAAAATAAAAAACTCCGGTGCTGACTCTATCCAGCTAGAAGAAGCACGCGTATTAAGGCTTTCCTTAGCCAAACGGTGCGCCATTTTATTTGCCGATCTCCTCGTCCATATGAGTTTGAAATCCTGGAATGACTGGATTCTCCTCTTCAGCTCCTGCACTGATTAGATGTTGTTAAAGCTGTTAATAATGACTGAGGATTACCAGAAATTAGTGTATTTCCTTCAAGCAGTGTCAGTGTGAGTAGAGTTAACTGAAATGAGCAATCATGTTCATGCTCAGTTAATTAGCTGAAATGGTGATGAGCATTCAGAATCAAGCTCTGGCTCATCAGGGTTATGAACTTATGATATGATCATCATCCATATGGTTTGGTTGGTGATCCATCTCTGCTCAGTTAGCTCCCCAATCAGGCTACTTTTCTTAATGCCATTTATTGTTCTTCCACTAAACAGTTCGCCCTAGTCACATCAACATTTTGTAGTAGGTCTGAGCATCCTCCTCTTCATATTGACATAGACATGAAATCAAATGGGCCTGACACTGCACCATTCTGGCCCAGATAATTCCCAAGCCCAACCCACAAGGCCCAACTAACACCAGACAAGTGGTCAACAGTCAAACAACTGAACGTTTATGTCAGAAAAATCTTTTTTATAATAGTATAATAATAATATATTTTTTTATTACGGCACGGGCCACGACGCGCGCGTGCGGGGTGGACACGTGGCCTCCGTCGGCCCACCGTTATCCGGGCCGAGGTCCGCCACGTGGCGTCCGAGAAGGGAAAAAAGCCTCGCGTACGCGGCAGTACGAGGCGCGGATCCCCGTGACAGGTGGGCCCGGCGGCCCATGGGCCCCACGTGTCACTCCCCCCGCGTCGCGTAGCGCGCCCTTTTTCCCGTATCCGCGGACTCCAACGGCTTCCTCTGCAATCCGGTTTGCCGCCCGCCTCTCAGTCCCGCCGTCTCCTCCCCTACACCCGGTCCATGGACCACACACCCACCCCCTGTCTAAGCTACCACTCACACTAGGGTGGGTCCATGGACCGCGTCCACAGAGCCTCTCCTCCGTCCAACGCCGTCAACCTCCCCCACGACGGCCGTCCACGTCTGTCCCGAACCGCCATGAGCACCCACTCACCCAGCCACCCACCCGTAATCCCACTGTCACGTGGGGCCCGCTCCCCCGAGGAAGGCGGTGGGACCGGTCTGTCATTGGGGGAGGGCCGGGGTGGGGAGCTGTCACTTGGGGGTATTATCCGCGCGTGTCCCCTCACGGCCTCCCAAATGGAGCCGTTATTTATAAAAAAAAAGAGGAAAAAAAATCCGAAGCGGATATAAAAATCCCCAAATCCCCACACGTCTATCGTTTCGTTTCCTCTCTCTCCTCGTCTCGTCTCTTCTCTCTCCATTTTTCTCGAAGCGAGAGTGCGTTGCGTTGCGAGCGGGAAGCGAAAACTCGAAACCATGGCCACGGCCGGCGACGAGCAGCAGCAGCAGGCGGCGGCGGCGCAGACGGCGGAGGTGACGGAGGCGGCGGCGAAGGAGGTGGTGTCCGTGGAGATGCCGGCGCCGGAGGGGTGGACGAAGAAGGTTCGAGACGAGATAATAGCTAAGCTTTGGTTTCAACTGCTGCTTTAATTCGGTTGCTGTTTTGCTTTTGTTATGCTTCGCTTCGATTTTGCGTCGAATTGGGGCGGAATTCGAGCGGCTGGGGGGGGGGGGGGTGTTGGTGGGAGGAATTGAGGGAGTTGGAGGTCGAATTCGAGGTGGATCTAGGGTTTTGAATTTAGGGGTTTGGTGCTTACATCGTTCCATTTTTTTTTTCGGTTCTAGGGTTTGTGCGATTGGGTTCACGTGCTCAGCTACGGAAGATTAAGCTAGGGTTTGTATATCTGTTAGTCACGTGAGTTCGCTGAGCTCGATTGGAGCTGTATCTACACGTCGCGAGCTGGGCGAGCAGTGTTGGAGCTTGTCTGCTATAGTTGGATTACGTCTCACCCACTTCCGCGAGTAGGTTACTTGGTTTGGTGGAGCGTACGCTGTTCGGGTGATTAGTGTTAGAATTGAGAGTTTCCGAGCTCGATTATGCTCTAGTAGGCTGATTCCCAAATTTCGGCTCGTACTGCCGCTCTGCATTACGAGGTGGTTGTATCGTTGGTCGGAATATTCCATGGCGTTGGTTGAGTACTGGTGTGCAGGTCTGCCCCTGTTGGGAAGTGCTTTGCCATTTAGTTTGTTGTTAGGGGATAAGCATATGGGGTACTTCATTAGCGAACTCTTTAACTGTGTAGTATTTGTAGTGAAGCCGAAATGGGAAATGTTCTGCTGCTGTGAGCTGCTGCAATTGCATTTAGTGGGATTAGGGAGTGCACCGAGATCGTTATTCATATTTGTACTTTATTTTGGAATCTGGCAATATCTTAGGTTTAGTTTTAGTATTACTATTAGAGCTTAGCACTGTTAAGGAGGCACTGCTTGAGCAGAGTGATCTGAAAAATGCAAAGCGTGATGTAACAGAGCAGGGCACTGGTGTGTCACATGTTGGCAGTCATTTGTTTCCCTGAGAATATGTTATGTTTGTCTAAAATAAGGTGTCGGTTTGGAATGCTTCTGCTCACTCATCCACTTAGATATTCTCTTTAGCCCTTTTCTATTCCTCTAGGGTCGCATCAGAAAATCCCAGCGACAATGACCTTCTTGAGTTCAGGAACTTGTTAGCTTCTTACTTGATACTTTGTGTGCTTATGGTGACTCGACTCCCTGGATTTTCTACTGGATAAAAGAAGCATGCATAATGTATCAACTAGACTATTCAGTTTAGTTTGGCTGTTTCCCTACCATCTGTTTCTATTTTCCTTGGATAATAACTGTGCTGGGTGATCGAGGTTGCTTGTGACTTGAATTCAGCCAGTAACACCTAAATTTGTCAGGTAGGCCCATTACCTACTTGTTTTGTTAGTTAGTTGGAACTCGACCTATTTTTTTGTGGTATAGTTGGCATTATCTATTATTGCTTACATGGATGGATATTGGAGTTTATTTTTAAAGCAATATAGGTGGGATTCTGGTTGGTGCTTTTGTCATTTACTCATCTATTGCTAAATTTTTGTTTGAAAGGGGAATAAAATGGTTTGCTAAATTTGTGGACATTTGGCATGCTTGCCAAATTAGTGGTTACCTTGTCATTGGTGCTTGTGGTGTTTCTGTTTTTCCACTTCACCAGAAGTTCTGTTTTACAAACTGTTTACATTTATGTGATTTTACTAGAAATTGGTGAAATGCCCCTTGAAAGTGCCATTTTTGAAGTTGGTACAACCGCACAAGCTTAGCAGCGCTAGTCTTTTGTGCTACAAAAGCATTGGTTTTCTTTTATTACATAACTGCAAATGCAGAACATGCTGCCTTCGACATGTCTGTTGCCTTTTGTTATGTTTCACAAATGGAGATAAATCTCTTTTTCCTCATGGCAGAGTTCTTAGTCTCACTCTGTTCTTTTTCTTCATAACTGTGTTTGAAGCCAGTGTCACTTCCCAATACTGAATCTGGGCTTTTTTTTGTTAACTTTGTGTTTTACTGCCTAAAAGGAGCCCTTTTGTGCATACTGTGCATAAAGTAGGGTATTACTGATAAGCAATACCATTAATAGCAGTAACTTGTTGTCCCTAATATTCTGCAGTCATATTCATGTTAAAGTCAACCTGGTTAGTACTTATTGATTCTGTAATGTACTATATCTCTTTAATATACTTTGCTGGAGACAATTAATTGAAGTAACTTGAGAAGTTGAAGCAATATTGCCTATGAAACCAAGTCGAAACACCAAATACCAGTATTAGATTTAGTTTTGTGCAATTCAATCATTCATGGTGAAAGTATTAGTCCATATGATTAATTCTGGAGATGTAAACCATATGGATTGCAGAATGGTTTACCTTTCTGAAACTGTTTATTCAATTAAATTAATTCTTGAATTTGGTCACTTTGGCAGCAGTGTTTGCCAGCTGGCAGTTGTTTTTATTATATATAGTTGGATTTGTATTTTTTTTAGGATCATTTTAAAACAATTTTCTTGAGATTGTCACATTTTACCATTTTATTGTTAGTCTATAATTTCTGTTTAGGCAATAGCCACTAGTTATCCACAGCTTTCACTAGTTTGGTAGAAGATGTCTTAATACAAGCAAGTATCAGTAATTATGGGTGAAGTCGGATTTGGTATTTTGCTGTTGTGCACAAACAAGTCTACGGGATTGTTCTTTATTGGTAGTTGTCTAAGGGCAATGCTAATTCTTTTTGTGGCATTCTTTGTTAACCATGTAACTTCAAAAGTAGTATCAAGCATGCAAGCTTGCTTTGTCTGACAATATTAGGGGGACTTGAATAGGATGCCTGCCTCGTAGAAGGTTGTCGATTCACTATTAAACATTGGATAGCACTAGGATCTGTTTTGTTCAGCAATCTGTTGCTGGGGACATGTTGATGTGTTTATTTTGTTTAATGTTACAAAGAAATGTTTGTAGGCATATGTATTGCATTCATCATTTGATAGCATCAATTAACATCCTTGATTTCTTTCTATTGTAGTTTACTCCCCAGAGAGGGGGGAGATTTGAGATTGTTTTTGTTTCACCAACTGGAGAAGAGATTAAGAACAAGAGACAGCTGAGCCAGTATCTGAAGGCACACCCTGGAGGCCCTGCATCCTCAGAGTTTGATTGGGGAACTGGTACCCACTAGATAAATTTCCTTCTTTAGTGCTGCCTTGAAATTTCACTAGGTTTAGTAGAAATGACGATGACTGCAGCAGTCTCTCTGCTTTATCTAAGAAACACTTGGACACAGGTGATACTCCAAGGCGCTCTGCTCGCATTAGCGAGAAAGTTAAGGCTTTCGATAGCCCAGAAGGGGAGAAGATCCCGAAACGTTCTAGGAACTCATCTGGCAGAAAGGGCAAGCAGGAGAAAAAGGAGGCCACCGAAAATGAAGAAGCGAAAGACGCTGAAGCTGACAAGGAGGCCCCTAGCGAAGATGCTCCAAAGGAGACTGATGTAGAGACAAAGCCTGCTGAAGAGGCGAAGGAGGCCCCTAGCGAAGATGCTCCAAAAGACACCGATGTGGAGATGAAAACTGCTGAAGATGCCAGCAAGACCGCAGACGCCGACACTCCTGCTCCAGCACCAGCCGGAACCGAGAAGGAAGATGCAAAACCGGCTGAATCTGAGGCTGCTCCTCCAGCACCATCGGAAGGAGGAGAGAAGAAAGAGGATGCAAAGCCAGCTGAACCTGAAGCAGCAGCTGCTCCACCAAGCAACCCAACTGAGCCTTCCGCACCCAAAGCTGCTGCTGCTGCTCCAGTAGAGAACTCCGCGGACAAAGGCCCTCACCAGGACAGCCAGCCGCCTTCCGCCGCCGCCCCCGCCAAGGAGTCATCCCCTGTCAACAACGGGCAGCTGCCGGCTGGTGCCTCTGCCGTGAAGTGCACCTGAAGATGAAGATGAAACCCCCCAACGAATCATCATCCTCCTCCCCTTGTCCGTGATGTACGCCTTTTAGGAATCATTCGCATTTGCATTGTGTAATCAAATCGACCAAGGAACTGACGTTGCTGGGTGACAGCCGGTTATTAGGCTCTGCATCAGTTTAGCTTGCTTGTATGTATGGTATGATTGTGGTGTGGCACAGCAACATACATACATACATACGTGTACCCTACCCATCATGCTCATAATATCTCTTATCATGCCTAACTTGCTGTAAGCACATTAATCTTAGGACATATATACCGTCGTCTGTCCGTCCGTCTGTCTGTGTTTGTACCTGTGCTGTATTATGTGTAATGACTTGATTAGCTATCTATGAATAAGGTTGGATGTGGATGTGCATCCTCTTATCCATCCATTTAAGATTATCCATCAACCCATCAGGCAGGGTGGTTTGGATATATTCCCCGGTAATGCCTGTGTAATACTAGTAGTGATGTAATCTAAGTTGTGTCTTGTGTTTGAACATTGTAGATCGATGGTTTGAACGAAATGGAATTTGGGGGAGATTGAATTTCAAATTCGTATTCGAGCCCTTTTCACAGTGTATATGCTCTGCTCTGCTCTGCTTGGTTTACATGATTACATATTACATAATATAAGGCACAATCACTTTTTTAGATGTTTTATTGGATACATGTATTATATTTATTAGGATGATCCAATCTACAAGATAATATTAATTATTTCTTGATCTTTGGGTTAAGGGGGTTGTTCCTTATATTTTGAAATGGAGGGAGTAGTAGTCATGATTGTGTGGGCTGGTCGGCGAGCGAGGTGCGGCAGACGGGGCACGTCGGGTTGAGGCGCAGCCACGGGTCGACGCAGTGGCGGTGGAAGGAGTGCGCGCACCAGGAGAGCACCCGGAGCTCGTCGCCGCCGCCGTACTCGCCGAGGCACACCGCGCAGCTGCTCTCCGCCGCCGCCGCCGTGCCATACACCACCTTGGGCAGCGCCTTGATCGCCGCCTCGTCGAGCCCACCGGCCGCCGCCTCCACCATCACCACGACGCCGCCGCCACCCGCCGCCGCCCCGCCGCCGGCGGTCTCCCGTCGCCGCCGCGGGCACGCCGCTGCGCGCGCACATGTGGAGCATGACGGCCATGGCGACGATGGCACCGACGCTGACGACCATGAAGACGATGGTCATCACCTCCATCTCACCGGCGACGAGCGAGCGAGCTGATCAACTAACCAACCAAGATTCCGGCGATGGATAATTGGAAGAATTAGTAATCGACGATGCGTGCAAGACAGCTCGAGGGTGAGGGTGAGTGGCTGTGGTTGCATTGGGCCATGAAAGTTAGCTGCTCCAGCTACTAGGCAAGTGGAAGAAGAGGAGAGGGAGACTGATGACTAATGGCGAGACACCGACTGTTTTCTGGTCCCTGCGTCTCATGCTACTACTACGTCCTTGATTGATTGGACATTTGTTTGGTTTCCTGTGTGTATTTTTGTGGTAGTTTTGGGTTGGAACAGAATTGGAGTCCTCGTTCATTTGACTGGATTCCTAGGTGTTATGTACTCTCCTTGTTCCAAAATATGTATTTTTGTGGTAGTTTTGGGTTCGAACAGAATTAGAGTCCTCGTTTTTGACTGGATTCCTTTGTTATGTATCTCAAAATATGTATTTTTTTTTATAATTTTGGGTTCGAACAGTCCTAAAATGTATATTTTTGTGGTAGTTTTGGGTTTGAACAGAATTAGGAGTCCTCGTTCTTTGACTGGTTTCCTTTGTTCTTTTCTCTCCCCGTCTCAAAATATGAAAGGTTTTCATTGAATGTTACACATCCTAATACCCTGTTTAGATTTATAGTACTATGATGTGTCACATTCAACCAACCCGCCATAGGGTAAACCACCGTCTCTCAGGCTTCCCCGATGAGTTCTACCATAAACACTACATCTTATATTTTGAGATAGAGGAAGTATTACCCCCGTCCTATTTTAAATGCAGTTGTGGGTTTCCACGTTCAACATTTTTTTCTATTTTTTTAGAGAAGGGTATTTATGAAACCTTATTTTTTAGAGCATGGTATTTATGAAACTTTTTAAACTAGGAACTTAGCCTATCAAATAAGGAACTTAGCCCTCAAATAACCCAATTTGAAATTTGTTTCTATGGAGATTTGAACTCAGGACCTTAGGGTGCTACTCAAGTCACTACAACCACTAGGTTGCTTACCCTTTCACCCACATCCAATGTTTAACTGTCCGTCTTATTTAATTTTTTTATGATTAGTATTTTTATTGTTATCAGATGATACAACATGAACAATACTTTATGCGTGACTTATTTTTTTAAAAAAAAATTAAATAAGACGGACGATCAAATGTTTGATACGGAAAACCTATAATTGCACTTTACTTATTATCTATGCCATGTCTCAACCAACTCATCTTTTTCTTATGCTTATGCTTATCAGCCAAAATTTAAATTTTCAACCTTAAATTTAGAGCTGATTTTGAAGTATTTTCATTGAAGTTTATTTTTCAACCTTTGCTTTTAGATCGCTAAGAACATGCATATAAAAGTTTTATTCACAAATTACTTTTCGTTTATAAATATACCGTTTCTCGCAACTTCTCCTCGGGACATTTAACTTCTTGCCACTCTTAAGATGTGGCAATTAATTATTTATCACTCGCTGTCTATGACATATGGGCTCTCATGTGTCTATAACATGTAGGTTTAATGGCAAATAATTTAACACCACTCATAAGAGTGGTAAATAGTTAATTATTCCCTTCTCGTCTGCGTCACCTGGCTACTTGGTGCCGGTGCCACTCAAAAATGGAAAACAATGCAAAATGATACGCGAGTAGATTTTCCATTTGCACCTGCATTATCTATATAAACCAATCGACCAGCTGTTATGATCTCATCTGCACGATACTAGCATGCACAGAATTCTGCATCCATCGTTAATTTTATTCGCACCAAGCAGTACGTATATATCTGAATCTTCCATTGCATCCTACAGAATCAAGTACACTCTTCAGTACGTACACATATGAATGAAGTGCAGATCCATGCAATGGACAGCTGGGTCCATCGGCCCAGTTATGGAGGGATTCTCAGACCGCCGAGGCAGGGTTACCGTGCTCCGGTGGTAAGCACGGTTACCGCGCGGTAACCACGGTAACCGTGGTAAACCGTACGAAACCGTGTAAAATTTATCAAAATTTTAAATTATTTTTAAAATTTATTTAAATTTAAGGAGGTTACCGCGGTTTTTCTTTTACCGTACCCCGAGGTAAGCCCAGTAACCGCGCGCACTTACTGGCAGTTTTGCAAACCCACTTATGGTGTGTGCCGCCCTGTACATCAAATCCTTCCTCCTAGTCACTGGTCTAATCCAGGGTTTCCCAAACCGCTGGGGCCGGGGTTACCGCGCCCCGGCGGTAAGCACGATTACAGCGTTAAACATGAAAAACCGTATAAAACCGTGCAAAATTTATCAAAAATTCAAATTATTTTTTAAATTTATTTGAATTTAAGGAGGTTACCGTGATATTTTTATTACCGTACCCCGCGGTAAGGGCGGTAACCGCGCGGTTACCGACGGTAGTGTAAACCCTGGTCTAATCGCCTTGTTATCGCTAATCCGACCACCCTTGACTTGCTTGTCCGACCGCTGAATCTCCCTTCTCTAACTGTTATTGAGCGCGGTGTCTGCCTGTCAGAGAAGAAGATGTGTTTATTAAGTGCCTCCAAATAACTGATGTCTCAACTTTCAAACATAAGTCGTACTTCAAGGCGAAACCTATGCCATATGTAGTTTTAACCTTTATATGCATTGTTTTTTAGCCTTAGCGTTCCGCACGATCTTATCGTTTGGACATTATCTTCACCCAAGTCGATTCCTGATCCCATCAGTGACAATTAGCACAAAAACAGAAACAGTATATGACACGTACATGAAACATAACTATAATCCATAAACATTAAGCAACTAACATGAAACACAAATTCAGGCCGTGTTTAGTTCCAAAATATTTTTTTAAACTTCCAACTTTTCCATCACATCAAAACTTTCCTACACACACAAACTTCTAACTTTTACGTCACATCGTTTCAATTTCAACCAAACTTCCAATCACCTCCAAACGTTCAGTAAAAAATCTACCGGTCAGACTACAGAGCAGCCCTATATGACCACACAGGCCGACCACCGTCAGGCTGAGTGGCCCATCAAATCCCTTACATATATTTCACCAAACAAAACACTACTTCACCAGTTTCATTTCCATCATTAGCTTGCATAACTAATTGTTCATCACGAAAACTTTAATCTATACAATGATTTCATATACATTAATCACATATGTCCAAAACACAAACTTAATTAATTACTACTCCCTCCATCCCATAATATAAGAGATTTTAAGTTTTTGGTTGCAACGTTTCACCACTCGTCTTATTCAAAATCTTTTGAAATTATTATTTATTTTATTTGTGACTTACTTTATTATCTATAGTACTTTAAGCACAACTTTTCGTTTTTTATATTTGTAAAAAAAAATTAAATAAGATGAGTGGTCAAATGTTATAAGCAAAAATTTAAAATCCCTTATATTGTGGGACGGAGGGAGTACATATCATCTACTCTAAAGCATTTTCACGATCGATGGCGAAGTTAAAAAAGCATTTTCTCCGTGCTGCATTTTGCAGCAATGCATGGCCACAAACAAATTAAACTCCATTGGGCATTGGCCGGACGCTGTCACGATGGACCACCGGCAGCGGCGGCGGCGGCGGCAGCGCCCCTCGCCGGCGGTGACGACCGGCAGACCGGGCAGGTGGGCCGACGCCGCAGCCACTCGTCGACGCACCGCCGGTGGAACGCGTGGCCGCAGCCCGGCAGCCGCCGGAGCTCGTCGCCGTCCTCGTACTCAGCCAGGCACACCGCGCACCCCGTGCCATCGCCGGCATCAACCGCCGCCGCCGCCGCCTCCTCCGGCACCGCCGCCGACGACGACGAGCAGCTGTACACCGTCGTCGGGTACTCCGCCAGGACGGCCTCGTCCAGCCCCGCCGCCCGGCCGAGCTCCACGTCGTCGATGCTCCGCTGCGACGGTGACCGCCGCCGCCGCCGTCGCCGGCGGTTGGAGCAGGCCAGCATGACGGCGGAGATCGCCACCAGCGCCGCCATGGATGCGGCGATCAGCACGTAATCCTTTGCCATCTCACATCTAAGCTTAAGCTAAGCTAAGCTAGGCTAAAGCTCTCCTCCAATCTTTATACTACGTGCCACGTCTCCGCATCGAGATTCGTGTGACCGGCCGTGCACCGTCCGATCGCATCGAGATTCGTGCCGCGCGAAATGGGTAATCAGATGAGCGCAATTTGGTTTAGTGTCAATACGCGCTAATGACCGGGTTATGTGCCTAATTAGAACCTGTAATTTGACTTTTACCGCTGCGTGTTGTCCGTTGCTTGATGTGCCAGCGATCCTTGGTTCTTTCTGAAAACTTCCTCGTCACCAAGACTTTCTTTTTTATTAATTTATGTTGTCTTTTTTACTTTTTAGCTCGCTAGAGCATAAGGATTTCCCTTTCTGTATTAAATTTCTCTTGTTTTTTTTTGAAGATCAGGACATATAATTTTTCAAAAACTTTCTGAAGAGAGCCTATCACCGTTGAATGGTGTCGTGGCAGGTTATTATCCAATGGAAACGTGACAGCTAGAAAGGGAGTGAAAAATAATGATGGGAGAATAGGATACCTAAGCTGCTAAGCAGGTAATTAGGCAGGTAAAGTGTGCTCTTAATGATGTAAAGAATGAGGTTTCTGTAGCTTGATCTGACAGGAAGGAAAAAAATGCTTTGCATATAATATGTTTGGCTTTAGGAGAATTAACCACTTGGATTAATTATGCAAACAAAACCTGACCTTGAATTCATCTAAATCAAAGGAAGTTCTGTATGAAAAGGAAGAATCTGGGCTTGAATTGGTCTAACCTAGTAAGCTTATGTGGTTGATGGTACAAGACCAAAGTAAATATGTTATTGTTAATGATGACTGACCATTTCTTTGCTTTCCAGGAGCATGTGCATTGACCATTGTTTATGCAAGGTAGTACAGCTTCAGGTGCTAATCCATGCAAAACCCAGATTAATCAAACACCTCCTGGTTTGTTCGTTTGGCAGGTGCAGCTAACCTTGCAGATTTGAAGAGTTGAAATTGTTTGGTTGGAAATTACTTCATTAGTGCTCATTTCAGGGAAATGCAAGCACCAAGTTGCCATCAGAATAATCTGGTTGATCATGGATAATCCACTGTATCTGTACACAGGCAGCAGAAAACATTAGTGCTGTAATTCTTTTAGCTGTGCTCCACTTATTGGGCCCATTTGCACTTATTTAGGAACAATGGTTGCATACATTTTTGCACCTTTGAGAGGAAAGAGAAGCATCTAATTCTAACAAAAGCTTGAGTTTTCTGCATAGTACATAAATTGGACTATGTAGGCTACAAATGAATTGTTAAAACAAGCATCAAGAGTACACCTATTACAATTTTTCTATATCTTTCTCTCTCCAGCTATACTAGGTGGTTTTATTTCATCATCATATATGCCCCCAGTAGTGTAGCATCGAGAATGCATATGGATACAGAAGTTTCAGCACTGACATGCAACGGACCTTCATAGAGCTGATAAAACAGTGTAGATGCAACTAACCTTCATAAGTATTCCTCACAGAAATTAGCTCTCTGATGACATATCCTGTGAGCATCCTTGCTCTCGGGGAGTCCTCTGTACATTGCAGCGCCACTCTGAGAACTGACATTATACATCCTTCGGTCTTCTTTTCAAACATATCTTTCTCTTTAAGCTGCAACATTGCTTGATCAACAATCTCCATGGCCCTGTCAGGATAAGCCGTTGCAACATAGCTGCGGATGCTTCTACTTCCCTGAAACAAATCATCTGTTGGCCTCTTTGCAGTGAACATCTCAAGCAGCAGGATTCCGTAACTGTAGACATCCCCCTCCACTGAAATTTCACCACCCATTCCATATTCTGAAAACATTAACAGAAATAAAATCGTCAATGCGTTATTATTCAGGTATTTCATGAAATGTTTGTCATGTAGATGTGGTAGTATTTAGAATTCAGAGTCCTAATTACCTGGAGGAATATATCCGACAGTGCCTTTGATCCCAGCTGAAATACTAGAATACTGTATGGAATTGTTGTTTGTTCCCAGCACAAACCGTGACAGCCCAAAGTCCCCTACATGGGCGACCATGTCATTGTCAAGAAGGACATTGCTTGGCTTCAGATCACAGTGAACAATGGGCACTTGGCCATGGCGGTGCAGGTAATCGAGAGCTTCAGCAACATCCAGCGCAATCCTCAGTCTTTCAGACATGGTTAACACCCGTGAGAAACTCTCATCATCATCATCAATGGTCGGATGGAGCCATTTGTCCAGGTCCCTGTTAGGCATGAACTCATACACCAAAGCTTTGAAATCATTACCATAGTGATCCACGGTCGAACAGGCTGTGATGATCTTTACAAGATTGCGATGCCGAACACTTCTTAGCGCCTCACACTCAGCCAAGAAACTCCGCTCGGCTCCATGCTGCAGAAGATTCAGGACTTTTATTGCGACTTCCTCCTCTTCAGAGCCTACAACTCCTTTGTACACTGAGCCAAAGCTTCCAACACCAATCAGGTTAGCTGCAGAGAACCCGTCAGTAGCCCTATGTAGTTCTGCATAGGATAATTTCCAGTGTTGCTCCATCAATAATGGTCGAGGAGATGTCTCATTACTCTGCATAACCTGTTTCATTGGCTTCAGAACACATACAAAAAGGGCGCCTGCGATGAGGACTAGAGCCACGAAAGATCCAACAGAAACTGACACAATCAGCACAGTTCTTGATCTATGTGAGCCCTTACCAGCGCGATCAGGACATTTCGGTAGCTGCAACTCTGAAACACCACCACAAACTCTGTTACCACCAACAAAGAAGTCTTTCGTAGCATTGAACACTCCAGTTGTTGGCACCGGTCCATCAAGCTGGTTGTAGGACAAGTTTAAGTATCGCAAGTACTGAAAAGTTGCAAGGAAATCTGGAATTGGACCAGACAAGTTATTCTGTGACATGTCAAGGTGTTGAAGCCCTTTCAGAGATACAAGAGATTGGGGAATTCTGCCACCAAATTGGTTTCCTTGCAGAAACAAGTACTCCATCGATTGACACCCAGCTAGCGCCTGTGGTATCTCTCCAGACAGCCTATTGTTTGACAAGTCGAGAACCCCAAGGCTGCTTAATCTGCCAACTTCTGAAGGAATTGGACCTGAGAAAGTGTTGTGAGACAAGTTCAGGAACAAGGTTAGAGACGAGAGGCTCAGAACTTGTTTCGGTAACATGCCACTGAACTGATTGTAAGACAAGTCCAGGATTGCAATACTGCTCATTCTCTCAAAGCTCAGAGGTATGCTTCCCTCCATGTCATTCTCTGATAGGTCCAGGAAAGCGAGCTTAGAAAGGTTTGCAACCAGCATTGGCGGGATTTCACCGGATATGTTATTGCCTGAGACATCTAGCCCGGTCATGCTGCTGAGACCACCAATTGTGTCTGGTATGGTGCCCGTCAGTGCATTGTCAGCAAGAGCAAGAACATCAAGATTTCTGAACTTGCCAATCTCCGAGGGAATGGCACCGCTTATCCTGTTTTCATTCATAAAGATTTTCTCTATTCCAATTGTGAGGTTGACAAGAGAAGCCGGCAGATCACCTTCAAACTTATTGCTTGAGAGGCTCAGTGCAAAAAGCCTACTGCAATTCCCTAAGGCAGCCATCAGTGGCCAGTCCTTGTCCCACTTGTCCTCCAACTGGTTGAACTGAAGGTTCAGCTTATCGAGATCCTTCAGCCTACCAATGTCAGGTGGCACAATTCCCTGCAGACCGTTGCTCTGAAGCTGGATCCGACGGAGTTTCGTCGCATTTCCTATCGATGGTGGGATGCTTCCTTGGAGCCGACAGTTGTACAGATTAAGAAACTGGATTCTCGGGAGGGTGATGCCGAAGTCAGGCGGCAGCATACCAGACAGATCATTGTTTCCCAAGTCAAGTACAGTAAGGGATGAAATGTTATACAACGAGAATGGAATTGCCCCTCCAAGACCAGCAAAAGCTAACCTCAGAAAGTTCAGCTTTGTGAGTCTACCCAGAGTGTCAGGTATGCTACCTCCAAGGTTGGAATTCTCACTGGCATCAAAAGCTAACAGTGAGGACATGTTACCCAATGATGGTGGGATGCCGCCGATGAGGTTGCTCCGATGCAGGCCCAAGAACTCAAGCTTCGACAGTGACCCGAATGATGCGGGGATGCCACCAGACAGGCTGTTCGCACTGATATTGAACACCCGGAGTTCCCTGCAGTTGCTGAAGTTCGCTGGAATCTCACCATGCAATCCATTCCGTGGTAACTCGAGATGTGTGAGTCGAGCACAATTGGTGAGAGACACAGGTATGTTACCGATCAGAGAATTCCCACCAAGGCTGATGACCCGTATGCGAGGTAGCTGGCCAAGCTCCAACGGGATGCCACCAGTGAGACGGTTGCCAGAGAGGTTGAGTGTGTGGAGGAAGGAAAGATTGGACAGACTTGGGCTTATCACACCCATCAAGTTGGATGACATGAGCTCCAGCGCTGTCACACGACCAGGGTGCTGCCTGGATCGGCACGACACACCGCGCCACCGGCAGATGCTGTCTGTGGCATTCATGCTTCCCTTGGTAGTGACCCATGTATCAAGAACCCCGTTTGGGTCACCGGAGATGGCGGCCTTGAATGCAAGCAGTGTTTGCTCATCACTAGACTGAGCTATGCACCCGGGGAGGACATGGACAGAATGGATGAGGAAAACGATGATGAACAAACATTGGCCATGCATCTCGCTGCCTCTCCCCATGCTTGCTTGCTATCTAGCTTCTTGGATTCTGAGAGTTTGGGTTAACAATAGAAGACGCAAATGCAATTTTAGCTTTTGGAATTCAACTAGGGCAATGTCAACTTCTTCTAATGCTTATTTATTACCAGTGAAAAGGCTTAACTCAGGAGGTGTGAAACTGCTGTTCTTCAGAGAATAATTAAGACAGGAAGCCTGCCGGACAGGATTTGCAACCTTAATAATTTTCAAACAAAAGTACGTCCTTGGTAGAAGTAGCTATCAGCTACAAAAGAATTAAAATCATGACATAGATTAGCAACAGAAGCCAACTGATGTTTGTCCACCAGAGATGGATAACCAAAAGGAGGATCCTTCCTTTTTGGATGGATGTGAACCATGGGTCAGGTAAGATGTAAGAGGGAGTTGTCTTAAATATTATATCAAGCTGCTAATTCTTTACTACTCCCTCCGTTTCACAATGTAAGTCATTCTAGCATTCCCCACAGTAAGTCATTCTAGCATTCCCCACATTCATAATGAATCTAGATAGATTCATTAACACCAATATGAATGTGGGGAATGCTAGAATGACTTACATTGTGAAACGGAGGAAGTAGTTACCAGCAGAATATTGTAACCTATTTGGATAAACATAATGTTTTTTGTTGTTTGGTTTTTCTTTTTAAAACTTTTAATTTCTCTGAAGAATTTGACCAAACTTACCATCGACCCAACCTTACAAATTAAACATGAATTAGCCATAATATAAGTTTGGCGAGAAAAAAAAAGTTCTTTTTGCATATTAAATGAAGGGAAAAAAAATCTTTCAACAGTCCATGTGAAAGTAATCCCTCATATGGTCAAAAAGCCGATGATCAATAAGGTCAAAACGATGCTACGTACGAATTGATTACCACTGCTGTTGGACTTTTGTCGATACAAAATGCTAGATCAGCAACATATTTGACCTGTTAGCAACACAGTAGTACCGATGTCATGCAAATATCATTTGAAAAAGATGTGTACCCGGTGAGCTCCCAACCTTCTAAGTGAACTCAAAACGCAAAATTAGTTCGGTTTTTCAGATTTACCACAACCAAAAGTCAAGCCTTATGTCACAATAAAAGTCAAGCCATGGCACTATCCTGTCCTAGTATTCAGATTAGTCTACTGGATAGCATCATGCATATTCAGATTAGCCTACTGGATAGCATCATGCATATTCAGATTAGCCTACTGGATAGCATCATGCAGAAAAGGATTCAGGTAATGCAGATCTCATCAAAACATGTCCCTCCAAACAATTTTTAAGAAGAAATTGTGAGCGTGTTGGGGATTGAACACGGAACCTTATGGTTGAAACTACACACCCCTTGCCACTGCACTATCAAGTGCATCTCAAAAAAAAAAAGTGTGCCATTTCGTAGCTATGCTTTGTGTTAGTTGAAGACAAATTCGATCTCCATTTCTGCAGGTTCCTGTTCAGCTGTTAGGGAGGGAAGGGAGAGGTGGAGCCGTGTGGGCGCGGACGCTTACCGGGAAGCGGGTATAGGGGGCCGACGAGAGCCGGAGAAGAGGCCCGCCCGCGGCTCGCCGTCGCAGCGGCGGATACGACCCCTGCGCTCGAAGAGCCGGATGAGAAGCTCCAGCCAGCCGCCTCCTTCCATGGCGGTGAGGCTACGTCCACGGCCATGGCGACCTTGTACTTCGTCCTATCGCGGCGGCGGGGGTCGCCGGAGTCCGCGCGCGCGCCGCCGCTGGCCGGAGAGGAGGCCTGGTCGTCGGGAGGTGAGCAAGGGGGATTTTGCTGAGGGCACATCGCCGTTGGATCTGAAATAGACGGTCCAGATGAACAAGTGCAAGAGAGTATCTCTAGCTCTTTTTTTTTTCTTTTTGCTTTCATTGTTTATGCAGGGCAGTAGTACAGCTTCATGGTGGAGGTTTGCAAACAGGCTGACCACGGCGGTTCTACTTTGAAACTGGTGGGATACAAGAAATAAGATAAACGCTGAGGATGAGAGTAGGACTCCCGAGGAACGAAGATGGTTTACGGAGATATCATGCTGAAACATGATATTTTCTTTGTTTCGTAATGTAAGACTTTCTAGCATTGCTTATATATGTTTAGATTCATTAGCATCTATATGTATGTGGGTAATGCTAAAATGTCTTACATTATGAAACGGATGGAGTAGAAACCTGGCAAACTTCCTAAGTGCAAAGAACCTGGCGCCCTCCACCCCAAGGTGAGCTGAAACTGAATATAGATGGTGCTTTCTTTGATGCCAGCAAGACTGGTGGTTGGGGTTTTGTGATTCGGGATCATGAAGGAAGTGGTGTGTTAGCAGGAGTAGGGAGAATTGAATCTGTGCATGATGCGTTGAATGCCGAAGCAGAAGCTTGCCTAAGCAAATCATGGAATTTCGCATATTGCTATTGAGACTTTTCTTTTTTTCTGGTCTCAGCTGACTATGATGGTCCTTGGGGGGGGGGGGGGGTTAGACAAATCAAAGCAATGATCCATGTAGATTGTGCTCATGAGATTGCTCGTTTAGGTGTGAATTGGGACCCAGGTCAAATGTCCGTTTGGGCTGACCCCCTCCCGGAGCCTGTAAAGTTGCTGGTGGTTCATGATCGCACCGAACCAATGAGTTAATAATAAGAGCACGTTAAGATAAAGAAAAATACAGCTTCATGGACTAGTCTGTTTTTGAGTAATGCTACACGAACTAAAAATTTCTTATAAACTTCTTACTAAAGAAAATCTCAACAGCTTGATTGAGTCAACTAGAAGTTAAGAAAAAAGTCAAGATTGAACCACGATGTGACATATCAGTGCTTATAAAAAGTTTGTTAAACAAATTTAATATGCATTCGTTTTTATATGTTTCTTTTTCTAAACACATAAAAGGATTACATGTTATTGTATTAAAAGAAGCAATTGAGTTTTAAAAGACATGGTGGCCTGAAGCCATCAGTGAGGGTACAAGCTAGAAATGAACCTAAGAGGGCTGAGTAGGAACTTAAAAGAGAAACAACCTAGATTAGTCAAACGCCACAGAGAGTTTGTGCAGATTGATTACTCAAACACCATAGAGAGCCTGTCCAAATTCATAGTATTAGAATATGTCACATCTGATCAAAATCCCTTATATTTTGGGACAGAACGAGTGGTAAACAAGAGAACAGGACTAAAACACCTTGCAGTAATCTATATGAGGACTTGATACGATCATGAGACTTGATAAATCAAGATTCCTCTATTCTATATATTTAAAAGATATAAATATATAATACAATAAATAAATACAAACATACTATTATCATATGATAATGGAATCAAATACGCACTATTTACGGAAAAGTCTTCATTTATTGGGAAAGAATCAATGGCATACAATGCATTACCAATGTATGATCATTACCCTTCAACCGAGTTACTCTATTCCACTTCTAGATAGAAAAAAAACTAAAGGAGAATACCACGAAACATTTATACAAAATACCTATCCCGAGCCACCAAAGCTGAGAATGCCACCAAAACTGAGAATGGGCATCATGTTCTATTTAGAGTTAAATTTGTTATTTTTATTTTTTCTTGTATAAATTCAAACGGAACTTGCATGTTCCTAGAGTGACATATCACTAATTGATCTATATTACTAACTTGTTTTTATTTGTTTATGAGTAAATTTCATAAAACTACATGTTTTATGGTTCAAGTTGCAGAAAACCACACACATTTTGACACTTGACACTTAAGTACATATATTTTGGTAGTTTAGTTTTACAAAACCACACTATTGATGAATGGATTCACTCGTGAGATGACGTGGTTGTTCCATCTAGGAGGAGAACGTGACATCCTATTAATTTCGTGTAATGGCTGGTTTAGGATGCCATGTCCTCGTCCTAGGTGAAACAACCTCGTCATCTCGCGGGTGAATCCATTCATCGATAGTGCGGTTTTGTGAAACTACACAACCAAAATATATGTACTTAAGTGCCAAGTTGTTAACGACCAAATTTGGTAATATCAGTGTCGGAGATAAAGACTAGATTGAAGCGGAATCGAAGATGAAGATCGTTGCGGAAACAGAGCAAGAATCGGCTGCAATCCAAATTGGCTACGGTCAGGATCGACAGAGTTCGAGTCAGACAGGGCTAGCCAATATTCCGACAATACAACTCGGTGTACATCATTGAGTTGAGTTAATGTGCTTCACACAGATTGCCACGCATGGATAGAGTCCTGAGAAGGCAACTGTATCTATTAATTAGGATATTTTATGTAATTTTCTTATAGATATGTTTGGGCAAAAGTCTGCCGCAAAGACTTATGGTATCTTAGAGTTTGTTAGAAATAAGAGTCGTGTCCGATATGGACATATTTTTTAATTCTCGGGTATAAATAGACCCGAACCCTATGTAATCAAACTAACACACGTTCAATACAATCTCGGTGCAACGCCACCCTTTTTACTTTCGTTTTGTTTCGATGAGTTCTTGCTTTCGGGTTGAGCTGCATCGGTTTCGATCTTCAACAAGAGGTAAAACTTGTTATGGCGGCTTGCGTTCTCGGGATTAGTGCTTCCATCTTTATGATACTCTAATCTTGTTTATCATATATCTTATATAATCTATGGCAATATTGCTGCCTAACCCACAATCGGCTAACATCTGTCAGTAGAAGGCAGCCGATCAGGTTAGATATCGATGTTGGCTTAGATTATATAAGGTATCCACCACTCTATGACACATCCAGCGGCTTGATTGTCTAGATATTGTCCTTCTTTTCATACTTATAGCTACATCAGTTGAGTTTGATCTTATGAGTCGTGATTAGAATCTCAAACTCTAGCCTGCTTCCTGGTTGTCGATTAGGGTAGTGTCACGTCCCAAAACGACTCTAAAATACATCCTCTAAATTATGCCTAGAATAATTAAAATCCGTGTGAAAGCCTCCAACAATTAAAATGTGCAAAGTTAAAAGTCAAATAAGGCTTGGAGGATTTTTGTATATTTCCTAAAAGTCTAAAATGCATAAATAAATTTTAGTGGAATTTTCAGAGCACAAATAATAATTATTAAGAAAGAAACAAAGTTAAAATGGTTTTATAAAAAGAAAAGCTCTAAAAAGTCCCTTTTCCCTCCCTCTTCCTCTTGGGCCGGCTCGGCCCATCTCCTTCCCCTTCCCTCTCCTCTCCCCGCGGCCCATTCGGCCTCCTCCCCGCGCGCGCGCCGCTGACGGGCGGGCCCGCCCGCCACCCTCGCTGACGGGTGGGGCCCACCCGTCATCCCCTTCCTCCCGCCGCTCCCGCCGCCTCGCCCGCGCCCTAGCGCTGCCGCCGCCGCGAATCCCGCCGCCTCCCGCCGTCCCCGCGCGCAATAAAGTGGGGGGAATTATTCCCCGGGATCCCCTCCCCCTTTCCCCCCATTTTTCCCTCCCTCTCTCCCTCGGATTCGTTTGGAAACCCCTCCCCTAACCTCGCCAGCGCCATTAATGGCGGCCGGATCTCCCGCGCCCGTTCCCCCCTCTTCCGGCCGCCCTCTCTCCCTCCCAACCCTATATAAACCCTCCCCGCACCTCCTCCGTTCGTTTCCGCCTCTCGCCGCCCTTCCTCCTTGCCGGAATCGAGCTCGCGCCGTCGCTCTCTCTCTCCGCCGTCACCGCCGAGCTCCGGTCCGCCGCCGTCGTCGCCCCGGACCACCTCCCACCTCGGCGCCGTCTCCTTCGGCTTCGCCGCATCCTCGCCGACCTCGTCCACCTCTCCGTTTCGGTCACCGACCGCCGGAGCACCGTCGACCCCGTCCACCCGAGCCGCGCCGCCGCCTTCCTCCGCTCCGGTCGCCGTTTCCGTCGTCGCCGTCGACCCGGGGTGAGCCGTGGACCGCCGCTTCGTTTCCCCCTTTCCCTCCCTTCTCTCGGCCGCCGCTCCGCCGTGCCTATGGCCGCCGCCGGCGACCATAGGGGCGCGGGCCCGCCGCCTCCCGCCGCTGCGCCGGCGTGGCCGCCTTCGGGCGCACCGAGCGGCTGCCGCATGGGGCCCGGCCGTCAGCCGCCCGCGCCCTCGGGTGCGGCTGATGCGTGGGACCCACGGCGCCGGCCGGTGTGAGCCCGGGTGCGCCCGGTCCACCGTGGACCGTGGGGCTGCCGCGTGGGCCCCACTCCCGTGGACCCGGTCCGCGCGCTCCTCCCCTCGGCTGACGCAATAAACCTTTTTTTTAATTAAAATTTAAATGAAGAAATTCGCAAATATTCATTTAAAGAGCATATAAACTTCAAATGGCCATAACTTGGCCATTTGAACTCGGAATTGGACCGTTCAAGTCTCTAATTTTTCCTTAAGAAGTCAAGAACCTATTTTTGTGCTTTGTTCCTGCTTGTTATATGGAGTTTATTAGAGTAAAAGCCTTTTCTTTTCTGTTGGTCGTGTAGACGTTGCAGCTTCGGAAGATCCGCTCTTCGTGGAAGTTGAAGCCGACGGTTGGGAAAGCGAGCAAGGCAAGTCACATCATCCTTGAACATATTGAATCCCAGTTTATAAAATTATATTGATTTAAATTATTGCATTATCGCTTTATTTAAATTCCCGCGTTATCACTGTTTTATCTAGCCATGCCTATTTACCTTTGTTATGACCTTATTATTGTTATTGTTATTATTTCCTTGTTCACCCTAGAATAAACAAAACCCCAACTAGTGGACACTCTACTCATGGTACCACTAGTATGATTTTAGGTAGATGCTTCGCCGTTTAATTAGGCAACATTAGGTG